GCGCTGACAGTGACTGGGAACAGTCAGATACAGTACAGAGGGCCCTGTGCTGACAGTGACTGGGAACAGTCAGATACAGTACAGAGAGCCCTGTGCTGACACTTTCTGGGAACAGTCGAAGAGAGCCCTGTGTTGACACTATCCGGGAACAGTCAGATACAGTACAGAGAGCCCTGTGCTGACAGTGACTGGGAACAGTCAGATACAGTACAGAGGACCCTGACAGTGCCCAGGAATAGTCATATTCAGTAGATAGAGCCCTGTGCCGACAGAGCCCTGTGCCGACACTATACGGGAACAGTCAGATACAGTACAGAGAGCCCTGTGCTGACACTATCCGGGAACAGTCAGATACAGTATAGAGAGCCCTGTGCTGACACTATCCGGGAACAGTCAGATACAGTACAGAGAGCCCTGTGCTGACAGTATCCAAGATCAGTCTGATACAGTAGATACAGCCCTGTGCTGACAGTGTCCGGGAACAGTCAGACACAGTACAGAGGACCCTGTGCTAATACTACGGAATCAGTCTGATGCAGTACAGATGGCCCTATGCTGAAACTATCCGGGATCAGTCTGATACATTGCAGACGGCCCTGTGCTGACACTATCTGGGAACAGTCAGATATAGTACAGAGAGCCCTGTGCTGACACCAGCTGGGAACAGTCAGATACAATACAGACAGCCCTGTGCTGACTCTATCCAGGATCAGTCTGATACAGAACAGAGAGCCAGAGGGTAGTGGTAGAGAGTTGCTTTTCAGACTGAAGGCCTGTGACCAGTGGTGTGCCACGAGGATCGGTGCCGGGACCATTCCTTTTTGTCATTTATATAAATTATTTGGGTGTGAACATCAGAGGTTTGGTTAGTATAGTTTGCTGACAAATTGGAGGTGTAGTGGACAGCAAAGAAGGTTACCTCAGAGTACAACGGGATCATGATCACTTGGGCCAATGAGTGGGAGATGGAATTTAATTTAGGTAAATGTGAGGTGCTGCATTTTGGAAAGGCAAATCAGGGCAGGACTTGTACACTTAATGGTAAGGTCCTGGGGAGTGTTGCTGAACAGAGAGACCTTGAGGTGCAGGTACATAGTTCCTTGAAAGTGGAGTCGCAGGTAGACAGGGCAGTGAAGAAGGCATTTGGTACGCTAGCCTTTATTGGTCAGTGCATTGAGTATTGGAGTTGGGAGGTCATGTTGCATCTGTATAGGACATTGGTTAGGCCACTTTTGGAATACTGCATTCAATTCTGGTCTCCCTGCTATAGGAAATATGTTGTGAAACTTGTAAGGGTTCAGAAAAGATTTACAATGATGTTGCAGGGTTTGAGCTGTCGGGAGAGGCTGGATAGGCTGAGGCTATTTTCCTTGCAGCGTTGGAGGCTAAGGGGTGACCTTATAGAGATTTCTAAAATCATGAGGGGCATGGATAAGGTAAATAGCCAAAGTCTTTTCCCCAGGGTAGGGGATTCCAAAACTAGAGGGGCATAGGTTTAAAGTGAGAGGGGAAAGGGACCCGAGGGACAACTTTTTCATGCAGTGGGTGGTACATGTATGGAACGAGCTGCCAGAGGAAGTGGTGGAGGTGGATACAATTACACAACATTTAAAAGGCATCTGGATGGTACATGGATAGGAAGGGTTTAGAAGGATATAGGCCAAATGCTGGCAAATACGACGGGATTAATTTAGGATACCTGATCGGCATGGATGAGTTGGACCGAAGGGTCTGTTTCTATGCTGTATGACTCTAATTAGAGCCCTGTGCTGACACTATCCAGGATCAGTCTGATACAGTACAGAGAGCCCTGTGCTGACAGTATCCGGGATCAGTCTGATACAGTACAGAGGACCCTGACAGTGCCCGAAAACAGTCAGATACAGTAGAGACCCTGTGCTGACAGTGACCAGGTATAGTCAGATATACAGTACAGAGGACCCTGTGCTAATACTATCCGGAATCAGTCTGATGCAGTACGGAGGGTCCTGTGCTGACACTATCCGGGATCAGTCTGATGCAGTACGGAGGGTCCTGTGCTGACACTCCGGGATCAGTCTGATACAGTACAGAGGACCCTGTGCTGACAGTGACCGGGAACAGTCTGATAGAGTAAAGAGAGCCCTGTGCTAACAGTGACCAGGTACAGACAGATACAGTACAGAGGACCCTGTGTTAATACTATCCGGAATCAGTCTGATGCAGTACAGAGGGCCCTGTGCTGACACTATCCAGGATCAGTCAGATACAGTACAGAGAGCCCTGTGCTGACACTATCCGGGAACAGTCAGATACATTGCAGAGAGCCCTGTGCTAACAGTGACCGGGAACAGTCAAATACAGTACCGAGGGCCCTAACAATGTCTGGGAACAGTCAGATACAGTACAGAGAGCCCTGTGCTGACAGTGTCTGGGAACAGTCAGATACAGTACAGAGAGCCCTGTGCTGACAGTGTCCGGGAACAGTCTGATACAGTACAGAGAGCCCTGTGCTGACCCTATCCGGGAACAGTCAGATACAGTGCAGAAGCTGCTGGTCTCACCCTTTCCCGGGTGCTGGTCTCTCATATCCGTCCAGCAGCAGTAGTTTAAACTGATGCGTGTTCATGAAAATCCCGAACAGCCTCGGAGTGACCATAAAAAGGGCGTCACCGTTCTGTAAACTGGGAAGTGAAAGTGTTGGCAGATGGAACACTCCCTAAGATTGTGGGCACTTCTATTTACAGAACTAAGTTACAACATGAAAACCGATTATTTGGCAAACTTATGTCATGCCACCCTCCATTTCCGTCCTTTTAATGCGGTTTTGGATTTCAATGTATTTCCGTTTGCAGGTTCCCCTAGAGGTCACAACTGGTACAGGAACGAAACTGCAGAAATACTCCTTTTACTGTTTGTCCTGTATTTGTCCGGGACAGCAGGATGTGAAGACAATGCAGCCTAAACATCAAGTTTCATATAGAATCCCTACAGTGTGGAAGCAGGCCATTCGTCCCATCTGGTCCATACTGAACCTCCGAAAAGTATCCCACCTTAAACCTGCATTTCCCATGCTAATCCACCCAGCCTGCGCATGCCTAGCCACTGTAGGCAATTTAGCATGGCCTATCCACCTAACCTGCACTTCTTGGGCAGTGAGAGGAAACTAGAGCACCCAGAGAAAACCCACATGGCCAATGATGAGATTGTGCCAACTCCATGCAGACAGTTGCTGATGGTGGAATCAAATCTGGGTCTCTGGCGCTGTGAGGCAGCAGTACTAAATGCAGAACCAACATGCTGCCTCCAACAGTTCACAAAACCTTCCCAGTTTGTGCCCTCTTCCCCGAGGCTCAATCAGTGGGTGGGAATCAGAAAGCTTCCTGATCAGATCCGGAGTCAGGCAGGGCTGCGCACTCTCTCCTGGCTTGTTTGTGTGTTGTATAGTCCCTTTTGCTGAGTCCAACAGGAAGAAAGCAAGCCTGAGAGGGGTGACCATTCCAGGTAGCAGAGGCCTGCAAGTCAAAGCCTCCCTGCACATGGATGACATCGCCGTTTTCCGCCTGGATCTGCTGTCGGTGCGCAGACTCATGAGCCTCTGCACCAGTTCGAACTGGCCTCGGGTGCCAAGGTAAATCGAGGAACGAGCGAGGCCATGTTCTTTGGGAACCGGGCCAACCTTCATTCATTCTCTTTACCATCAGGACAGAATATCTGAAAGGTGCTGGGAATATGGTTCGGAGGGGCCAGGAGTGCACAAAATCTTGAGAGGATCACATTACCAAAGTGAAGCAGAAACTGGTCCTTTGGGAGCACCGCTCCCTCTCCATTGCAGGAAAAAGACCTGGTCATCAGGAATGAGGACTGTCTCTGTTGTGCGTAGCACAAGTCTGGCCCATCCTCCAAAAGTATGCTGTTTCAGTCACCCAGTCATCTTCCATTTCATCTGGAAGCCGAAGATAGACCAGGTACAAAATTCTAGATAGGGGAGGGGTTTGCGGGGGGGAGAGAATATACCCAATGATGCCATCATCAAGCTATGCATAGACGCCCTGTAAACAACCACACAAGTGTCACTACTTACTGAGGTTCTACCTGTCCCCGGCGTTGCAAAGGATGATACTGGCCTCGTTGCTGTGGAACGTTCCAAGTAGTTGGATCGTCCCGTATCACCGGTCCTTCGAGGAGAAATTTGCAAAGAAAAACACCCTATGACCACAAGTCCATCAGGCAGTGGTCAGCACGTAGCATCCTCGACACCCTGCAGGAAAAGGAGAGGGTGCATCTTGTCGAGTGGTTTCCCCATGCTGACTGTCAAAGTCATTTGGCAGAATGCCTAATCGCCAGAACTTTCCAACAAACACTGAGACATTGCTGGCTGGTGGTGAGAAGGGCACTACTTGTGAGATCCTTTACGCATGCCCAGTCAGCCTGTGCCACAGCATGCTGCCTTTGAAGTAGCTGCGATGGGGATATGACTGTCACACACCTCCTTCTGGAATATGCCTTTGTGAGGGAAGTCTGGAGGAAGATGCAGTTGTTTTTGCTGAGGTTCATCCTGAGCAGCTCCGTGATGCAGGACTCTGTGTTCTACAGTCTGTTCCCCGGGATGCACAACGAGACAAACATCAACTGCGTCTGAATGATGGTCTTTGGTTTGCCTGAACCTTGCTGGTCTTCCAGAACAAGGAGTGACCCTGACCAAGTGTTGCAGACTGGCTCATTCCAAGGTCCAGGACTATGTGCCGAGGGATACACTGAAGCTTGGGGCAGCTGCTGCCAAGGCACAATCGGGAAGGACCACGGTCTGAGGTTTTCCCACTGAAGGTAAATGGGAGACCGTTCAGTTATCGGACCCTCTCAGTGGATAAAATATATGCAAATATCAGTCTCGTGTGTGTAAAAGGGTCATTGGTTTTGTGTACAGTCAAATTCCAATGTTTTGTATTTACTTGATGTGCAACGATGCAGAACCAAACTGCTTTTGTGTCAAAGTTTTTTTTTGCCAAAATGAATAAAGTATATTTTTAAAATAAAAAAACACAGGAAGGTGGTTTGTGCATCTCCCATTAATCAGATAGGAGTTGTGCATATTAGATCTCTTCTGGTGATCTACAATAATACAAACTACGGGGCAAATCGCTAAATAGAGTCAGTTGTACAAGCACAGAAACAGACCCTTCAGTCCAACTCGTCCATACAGACCAGATATCCTAAAATAATCTACTCCCATTTGCCAGCGTTTGGTCCATATCCCTCTAAACTCTCTCTATTCATATACCCATCCTGATGCCTTTTAAATGTTGTAATTGTACCACCCTTCACCACTTCCTCTGGCAGCTCATTCTATATCCACACCACCCTCTGCATGAAAAAGTTACCCCTTAGGTCCATTTTAAATCTTTCCCCTCTCACCTTAAACATATGCCCTCTAGTTCTGGACTCCCCTACCCTAGGAAGATAACCTTGGCTATTCACCCTATTCATGCCCCTCATGATTTTATAGACCTTTAGAAGGTCACACCTCAGCCTCCAATGCTCCAGGGAGGATAACCGCAGCCTCTCCCTAAAGCTCAAACCCTCCAACCCTGGTGACATTCTTCTAAATCTTTTCTGAACACTTTCCAGTTTCACAACATCCTTCCAAAGCAGGGAGATCAGAACTGAATGCAGTATTCCAAAAGTGACCTAAACACTGTCCTGTACAGATACAATATGACATCGCAACTCCTATACTCTGCACTGACTAATAAAGGCAAGTGTATCAAACACCTTCACCACCCTATTTACCTATGACTCCACTTTCAAGGAATTATGAACTTGCACCCCAAGATCTCTTTGGTCAGCAACACTCTGAAGAATCCTACCATTAAGTTTAGGAATCCTGCCCTGATTTGCCATACCAAAACTCCATCTGCCTCTTTAATATATTTAAAGCCACCATTCATCTGTGTTATCCCTCAGGTTACTACTCATGTTATAGCCTGCCTCTGATAGGCATCATTTTTCTTAGAAGCATTCAACATTGCACTCATAATGGCTGTACCGTCAGCTTCCAAAGCTCTGAGGGTTCTTTCTTGCATCTCAGCATCTTCTACATCAGGGAGACCAAGCAGAGACTCGGAGACCGCTTTGTGAGTGCCTGCACTCTGTTCGCGAACCATTTCAACGTCCCCTCCCACTCCCTGGGTGACATGTCCATCCTGGGCCTCCTCCAGTGTCACAATGATGTCACCCAGAAACTAGAGGAGTAGCACCTCATATTCCGCCTTAGGAGCCCACAGCCCAATGGCCTAAATGTGGATTTTACCAGTTTCAAAATCACCCCAGCCTCATCCCATGACCAATCCTCCCTCTCATCCCCACCTCCTTGACTTGTCCATCTTCTCTCCCATGAATCCACTCCTCCCACCTCACTGCACTCACCTATCACTATCCCACCTACCTTCCCCAACCCCACCCCTCCCTTCTTTGAGCTCCTTTTCCCTACCCCTCTCTTCTTTCTCCTCTATCCACTCCCCCCAAATTTCTGAAGGGTCCTGACCGAAATGCCAACTTTCCTGCTCCTCTGATGTTGCCTGGTCTGCTGTGCTCCTCCAGCTCTACACTTTTCTGACTCCAGCATCAGCAGTTCTTAGAGATAATAAGTGACCTATCCCTTTAAAGTAGTTTTTGTAAAAGCTAGCTTGTTGCTTAAGCTGTTGACCACCCAGATTCATACAGCTAGATGTAGCTTAGTAGCAAATTGTATTTAATCATTCTTATATGACATGACTTGGGATATTTCATTCAGTTGAAAGTGGCTTTTTTCTCCCCCCAAAAAAGGCAAGTTGAGAAGTAGATACCAGATTTGGACACATCAGCTGAGTATGTGAAAAGGAGCTTTTTAGAATGCACTCATCTTCTGCAGTTTGCATATGTGCAAAATATTGGAACTAATGAGCCTCAAAGCCAGGGCAATGGGAGCAGCAGATGTTAACTACTCTATACATGTCAAAACAGTTGATCAATAGCTACCTGCTCCATTAATACCAAGTACATTGGTCATCAGGTTCTTGACTGACTCTCTCAGGAGGGCCCACTTGCACTGAAAGTTAGAGAATTTGTCAGGTGTTTTAAAATTATTTTTATAGAACTAAAGAATCTATGGAATAGGCTGAAGACAGAATAAAGTTGAAAATACCAATAAGATGGTGACAAAAAGCAATGCTTCAGATGACTGAACATCTATATAAACATTTCTACTCGCATTGTAATTTGTAAGGAGTGGGATTTGGGGGAGGGGGAAGGACATAACATACATATCCAGCCATGTTATTTAAGACATTAGACTCAGTCCAGGCTACAGATTCCAACTGAGAAGGGGAACTACACCAACCATGTAACCTAATCACTAACAACGGGTTCAGGTTTTGAACCTTTTAACTGGCCAGTTGGTAAGTAGAGGTTTACAATTGCAAGTGGACCTCTCATTAAAGTGTTTTCCCCAGGGCCTATAGGCAAAGCATTAAAAAACACATGGAGTGAGCAATAGCTAGACCAGGTCTTTGGTACTTCCTTTTCTACTGCCATTCTGCATTTGCTTGTACTGCACCCTGTCAGCACTGTATTCAATGTTCAAAACCAGGCAGCTGACTTCAGAGGAAAAGGCAGAATTCATTCTTCCCCAAAACCAGCCTGAAATCATCTACACGACTCAAATGGTTGGTTTCACTTGGTTGAGACTCAAATTTGGCTCCTTGTTAAAGTTATGGCTTAAATTCCAGGTCACTTGTTACTGTTGTCATGACATGTGATGTGTGACCTGGCTTTCAGTCACTGTAGTGGAGTCAGTTGTGTAATGCCCAGAAAAATCAATAAGCAAAAAATCCAGACCATGAGAGTCTGAAATCAATGCTGTAAATAGCTAGTGTTGAAAAAACCAAGATAATGCTATAACATTTGTGAGGTCTATGTATTAGATGGGCTAACATGCAAATATGTGGGGAAAACCACAAAAAGACAAACTGGCACCAAATAGGCAGACACCAAAGACTGAAAAAAGTGACAGCAACATGACAAACTGTCAAGAGTTCAGAGCTGAAGTTATAAATCACCAAAACTAAAGACCACAACTTATTGAAGAACACAGGGAATATGCCAAGAAAAGTGGGCTGTTGCTGGGGTCCAATTTATAAAAAAAAAAAAGAGTTCCAAATGGTCTTTAAAAGGACAGATGCAAAACAGCAGAAAATACAGGCACAAGGGAAAAGTCTACATTATGACTTACTGGTGTCCAGTCAATTTGACCAGTCTTACTGCAAAAAAAATCTAAGTGCCCTGTGACACCATTTATAGGTGCAGAACTTATTACTACAAGCCTGCAACTCAAAAAGGGACAAAAAACCTACCATATTGTCATATAGATTCTGATACTGGTGTTGGAGAGCAGAGAGATCAGCCCATCTTTAACATGCTATCAGACTTTGTTACTCAAAAGAAAACATGAAATCAGAACAGGGTGGCAAGATTCTTGCTGTCCCTCAAAAAAAGAGTGTTTTTGCAGCTAAATGGTGTAAAACCAGCCAAATAGAGCAGAATTTAATGCTGGTGCCGATAGTCTAACAGTAGACTGGAAAGCTGGGTTTAGCCTCACTGGGCAGAATTACACAGGGATATTACTTGTAAAAAGACAAATCAGCAGCATGTTTTTGGGCATCTCCTCCCTTGAAAAGGATAGGGGACACTTCCAATAAGTGCTGTGCAATCAGAAAGGTGGCAGACAGGAATGTCAATAGTTGTACCTAGGAGCAGGGACCACACAGTTAGAATTGCACCCAGACCAGAACAACTTGGAAGGCACCCAAAAACTCAAGTTTTCAGGTTTGCTGGTACCAGACAAGCAGGGCTGAGCAAAGGGCAGGATGTATATTGTTAACTGCTAACCCTGTCCCCAAAAGGAGGAGCTTTGTGAAGACAGCATTTACAGCCGGGATTCTTCAATGGACAATAGGGTGCTCAAGCCAGAGACTCAAAACCGGAATGGGAGAACATTGGGTAATATAGTCTGTACATAGATACTTTGTGTAACAATTTTCATTGCAAATTTAAGGAATTTATTGTCAATTGTTTGACGAGTAAAGAACCTGGTTTTGACAATAAAGATTTAATATGACATCTATTTCTGTCTCCTATGCATGAATAAAACATTTAAGTTAAGAAACCAAAGTCTCAAGGTTAAGAGGGAAAGGGTTTATATTCATCTTTCACATGGGGAAAGAAAGCAGCTTGTAAAATTTTCTACAGATATGAAAATTTAAAAAAGATCAGGATACAAAGTGTAGGTCTCAGTCAGAAGGACTGGGGAGTTGATGCCTAGTGGTATTGTGATTAGACTGTTGATCCAGAGACCCAAGTATTGTCCTGGGGACCCATGTTGGAATCCTGCCATAGCAGATGGGGAAAAATTGGAATTCCATATAGAATGGTCAGAAAAACCCATTTGGGTTTTAGTCCACTACTGCTACCACCTTGCTGACACTGCTGTCATTGCCAGGAGACCCACTCCATACCAATACTCCAGCCACTGCCCCTGGCCTCAAGAAAAAAAAAAAGTGAAATAAAAAGGAGAAAAAATTCCACTGGTCGGGGGGGGGGTGGGGGGGGCAAGCAAGCTCAGGAGCCCCAACACTACCTACTGTGCCAGGCTTGCCATTTTCATAACCCTGGAGGCTTGGTTTTCAAGTGAAAAGTGATTAGTACAGTACTGAAAGATCATTGAGAATAGCTGGGATCCAAACAATGAGGATTTAAACAAGGATAAGCAAAGTGGCATTTCAGATTGCAGGTGAGACAAAGCTCAGTGAGGAGAATGCAAAGATGTTTGTGTGATTTAGACAAGCTGCTAATGCAGGGCACATGAAGTGTGTAGATAAAATGCAAGGTTCTGCTTTGGTAGCAAAAAAGGATAGTTGGAAAAAGGTGCAACAAGACCTGGTGTCATTGTATATTGGTTACTGAAAACAAGTAGGCAGGTGCAACAGGCAGTGAAGGCTGCAAGTGGATAATTGGCCTTCATAGTGAAGATGGCAGGGGCGGGGGGGTGCCATGCTGTAGTTGTTCAGGGCCTTGGTGAGACCACATGTGGAGTATGGGCAATTTGTCTCCTTAGCCAAGGATAGACATTCTTTTTGAATATGGAGGGGGTGCAATCAAGGTAATCTTGATAATGGAGGGGTGAAAAATCTCAAGTTAGATTTTTTAAAATAGACAAGATTAGACAGGGTAAACACAGGATATTACCAAATGGTAGCAGCATCCAGAAATAGATGTCAGGATATGTGGCGGGCCATTTAGGATTGAGGAGGAAAAAATCTCTTCACCCAGAAGTGATGAGCCATTGGAATTTCCTGCTTCAGAAAGGAGTTAAGGGCAAAACATTAATGCTTGCAAGATGGAGTTATATGATGCTTAGGGCTAAAAGGATCAAATGCAATGGGAAGAGGGTACTAAGTGGATGATCAGCAATGATACAAAGTGGCAGAGCAGGGTCAAAGGGCTGAATGGCCTATTCCTGCTTCTGTTTTCTTTAAATACCACTTGCAGCACAGTTGCTCCTTGGGAGGGAAGTTTTTGTCCTTCCCCATACCCAACTGAATGGTAGTAAGTGAGGAAAGATGTTGTCTGTTCCATCACGTATTTGATGGTTTCTCCAACCCACTCTCTGCTCATTATTGCTATCAGTGTCATGGCATCAAGTGACATTAGTATTAGACAGATTGACATTGTAGATTAGTTTGCAATGCTTTTGCTAACTTTCACCTAAATTACCAAAAGTGATCAGAAGCCATTTGGTAATTTAGTTTATATGGGTACCAAAGTTTGGCAGCCTACGTAGACACCAGAACCTAAAAATTTACAGCTAAAGATCAGAAATTGAGAAACTTGTAGCTACCCTGAAGGAAAAAAGTTAGCAGGGAGAGACATCAGTGCAACTCAGTACTTCAAGATGAAGGCCAGTTAATTTCCAATTATTTCCTCTTGTTTGGTAGCAAGTGATTACATTTTCAGATAATTCAGAACTTTTTATTTGTACCATTAAAAAGGTATTCAATGTTATGTCAATATTTCCAATCATGGTTAGCTTCATTACAGTTACTGAACATGACAAAAGAGTATCCACAGACATTTGGTCAGCACACACCAAAATCACTCATCACTTCCACATAGAGCCAGCAGGATTTTCTCATAGTCTGCCTTGGTGTCATTCTGCGTGAAATGAAAGGAAACCAAGATTAGTACCATCATGCACAAGAATATTAAACTCAAGTTTACATTTTAACTCATTCAGGAATGAAATGCATCCCAGCAGGTTATTATTGTTCAGACAAATGTGCAGAAGAGGCAATAATCAAGTATGCTTGCAATACATTAGTCTTGGCTGGAAAAGCCACTCCAGACTCACTTAAAACTAACTATTGGAAACAATTTGAAAATTCTGGAATTGTAGTGTTCAGTTGTTTTGTTGGATTAAGAGTCAATTTATTAATGCTTAATCTGCTTGACCAAGACCATCCAAGCATGGCCAAAAGTAAAAAAGTGTCTAGAAAGCTTAAGACCAAAGCTGCAGCATGGGAGATGTTAAAACTGACTAAAGCCTGTTTATGCACAAGACTAATGTCATCTTTACATCAATTAATGATAAGTACACAATTAGATCATACTTCATAAAACATTTTTAATACTGTTTTCCTTCAAAGGAAAGGTCATGGATTCTGACAAAGAGCTCAGTTTGAAGGGATACCTTTAATTTCCTCTCCACCTCACCCCCAACCCGAGGCCAGTTTATTGTGGTTGCCAATCCAAATGCTAGTGATCACCCCACTGTTTTGCATTAGGGATGAGCATTCTAGTTCATAATGTTAAGCTCAGCACAAAAAACTTCATTCTCACCAGATTCAAAATCTACTTCAAAGATACAGTTCCAACTAAATTTAGAGGAAAGAGTGGAAGCCCAAAACCCAAGTGTTGAAAAATTGAGACAAGTTTGATCTTCGATTCCAGTTACATCCCTACAAATAATCATGCTAAACAGGTTCATAATTTCCTGGCTTCACTTTTCTTCTTTACAAACCTCAACTGTCCACTTGGATCAAGGAAACATCTCTAGAAATATATAGTCAGTCAAATTAACACTTTCCAAATAAATAAAGCTAGATTATAATCTACAAGAGCAATGTTGTAGGGCATGATCCAAAAAAGGCGGGATTAGTTTTGTGAAATACAATTGAAGTGCAATCTTACCTTGATAGCTTTGTAAAGTGTTGTTCCGTATTTAGCCTTGTATGCCACTTTGATGTCCTTCATATCCACTTCAGAGCGGGAAATCATAATTCTGATCAATACTTTATCTCTTGTACCATGGCCCTGTTCAAGCAAAGTGTGGTTTAACAACTCATTTTTAAAAAAGACAGCTCTTGAGCTGACTGGATTCATTTTAAAAATAAGTTTAAGAAAGGCATTGCTAGAGTACAGTGCTATAGGTGATTGTGTTGGACGAGTAACCTAAGTGAATTTTAAATTATATGGGCTACCTCAAGCAAATGAAAAGTGATTCACTAAAGTGAGGCAAAACAGCTGGTTAGACCTGTGCACATAGTCCACATTAGAAATTTACCAACCATTTGAAGTGTCTGGTCCACCTGTTTAAGACAACCATTTCCCTTGACGGACATCTTAAATTGATACAGCACAGATATGGCCATTCAGCTTCATTTTATGTTCATATCCCCGTCAAACCCTTTCAAAAACAAAACAGGTCTATCTCCATCATTCCACATTCTAATGAAGAATGTTTTCCATGTTATTCTTCCCATGATGTGGGAATTGCTAGCATTTGCCCATGCACTGGTTGCTCTAGACCAATTGAGGGCCATTAATAATCCACCACATTGCTGTGGGTCTGAAGTCACATGTAACAAAAACAAAACATAGCAAATAGGTGCAGGAGTAGGCCATTCTGCCCTTCAAGCCTGCACCACCATTCAATACAATCACAGCCGATTATGCCATCTCAGTATCCCATTCCCACTGGGCTCTTTAGCTGTAAAGGCTGCATCCAGCTCCCTCTTGAATATATCTAATGAGTTGGCCCCAACAGCTTCCCATGGGTGAGAATTCTACAGGTTCAAAACTGAGTGAAGAAATTCCTCCTCATCTTAGTCCTGGATAGCTTACCCCTTGTTCTGGACTTCCAACATTGGGAACAATCTTCCTTCATTGAAGGCAGTCCTATGCCATCAGGATTTTGTATGTTTCTACAAAAACTCCTCATTCTAAATTCCATTGAATGCGAACTCAGTCAATCCAGTTTTTCCTCATGTCAGTCCTGCCATCCCAGGAAATCAGTCTGGTGAACCTTCTCTGGACTCCCTCAATAGCAAGAACATCCTTCCTCAGATTAGGAGGCCAAACCTGGAGACAATACTCAAGGTGTGGCCTCACCAAGGCCCTGTATAACTGCAGCAAGACTGCCTTACTGCAATACTTAAATCCTCTCGCTATGAAGGCCAGCATGCCATTAGCTTTCTTCACTGCCTGCTGCATCATGACACCTCACCTTTTCCTGACCTTCCAAATAATAATCTAGTCACAAAAAACAGTCAGGCAAAGTTATCCATGTTATATTGCATTTGTAAAGTATTTGCCCTCAGACATTCTGTCCAAGTCACCCTGCAATCTCTTAGCATTCTCCTCAGCACACACTGCCACCCAGCGTGGTGTCATCTGCAAATGCAGATATTGCATATAGGCCAGACCAGATAGCAGATTTCCTTCCCTAAAAAAAGGGTAATGAACCAGGTGTGTTTTTCTTTCTTAAAAATGGTTGTGGTCTTGGTCAATATAAAGCTAGTCTTCAATTCCAGATTTTAAAATTTAAAAAGTTCTGCCATAGTAACATTTCAACCCATATCTGCCTGGGTGTCTGGATTTCTACTAGTGTTACAATTACATCTCACCTTAAAGTGTTTTAGTCACCAAGTCTATTCCTTCTACTTGCAGCTTTTCAGTCAAAAAAATTTTCCCTCAAATTTAATTTAAACCCTTCACATTAAAGAAATGTGAAGTCTGCCTTCTAATCCAGAAAAAGCACTCCAGCTTCATGTCTGTAAAAAATGCCTATACATTCCATTCTTTAAAAAAGTCAGTATTATGCTCCCCAAAGCCTTCTACTTTCTAGTTTGATGCCCAGAATTAGACTTGTCTTTCCAGGGCCAAACAAGTTAAGGTCAAAGTACTTTGCACCAGTTTAAAAGTCTGTAGCTTCTGCATTTAAGCTGTAGAATGCAATACACTTGCTTATCCAGTTGCCACCTTGAAAATAAAGCGATTTCTCTGCAGTATAACCATGTTTTGCATATATCCTCATGATCACAACCCCAAATTTAGGCACATTGAATAAACATGCAATTCAGAGAAGGGACACAGCTAAACAACTGCAGATTCAGCACTTTAGTACTGATCAGAGGAACTCTGGAATGTAACATTTCAAAAGTCACAAAAGAATTTCAAAACAACCTTTCAAAAGCAGAGATGCAAATCAGAGCAAGTAGACAGTGACATTCTAGCTGAGATAGTGAGGTGCTGACTACATCTCAGCAGAAAGCCATTTCCTGAGAATGATGTCCTGAACTGGAGACATGATTGTTTTACCCTGTCAGTGGCCTGATGTGGATTAGTGCACTGTGAAGGTCACAGCTTGAGACTCATCATTAGATACTCCTCTATGGAAGTAAAGGCAGACTCTCCCAAGTGTGCTGGAAGCCAGTGAAGTGAACATTGAAGGAAATAATGAGTTAAAAGCCTGTCAGCTAACTCAGAACCAAAAAAGTCTTAACACTAAAGTCCATCAGTGGTTGTTACCATCAAGTCAGATGGTAATGTTCTCCATGAAGACCAAATTGCAGAACAGACAGACATCTTTTTAAAGATGCTCCTACCCCAGTTTAAATTTCTAATCTTGATGCTGCATTCTATTATTTATTCTCCTGTTAGTGGCTAATAAGCTGACCCTTTAACACAAGTCCAGTTAATTTGGTTTCTCTTACAATAAAGATTTGGGTGGGAAAAGTAGATGGTAGGGGAATTCATCTGGTTGCTACTTAATATTAGTATTCATACTAATATTGTCCTGCATTAAATTTCATCTGCCAGTACCTTCCCTGCTCAAGAAAGGCATGTCCTTAAAGTCTATTACTGTCTTCAATCTTTACAAACTTTGGTGTAGTAAGCAGTGTTCTGTAAATCTTTTTGTACTTGAACTGTCACTTAGCTGAGAACTTGATGCTACTGCACCCTTTCATTGTCATGGCTTCCAATTGTGCTAATGTGCCAAGACAGTTACCTTCATGGAATTATACAGCTTTTCAGCAAAGTAGTCTGGTTTGTTTCCAATGCATCGCACTGTCAAAAGAAAAATGTGAACAAAGTCAAAATTTCAGTGAATTTAACTATGCAATAGTTTCATCATTGTTGGGGGGGGGGGGGGAGGAAGGGGGAAAGGCTGTTACATGATGCATTTCACAAAGTGCTATAGATGGCACATTTGTTAGACTCCACTAACATTAGGAAAAAAAGTGGCTGCAGCAGAAAGTGAATTGGGTAGGGTTCAAGGGAAAAGTGTGAACCTTTGCTTTCTCCAGGGGAGAGGAGATTTTTCAAGTCTGGTTGTTACATGGCAACGTGAAAGTACAGAATTGAAAACAGAGCAACTGAAGTCTAAACTTATGGTCTCATGATGAGAACAGTAGTACAAAGAATGCAGTCAGTCATAGAAAAAAATGACTTGCTGCCAATCGCTAAAGTATTTTCCAGCAGGCTGCAACCATAGGGATATTTTATGACTAGTTGAAACCAAATGTTAAAAATCCCTTTCTGCTGCAGTAATAGTGAAGAGTACAACTTGAATCAGGAGTGCAGTGTTAGTTGCACCAGCACTTCAGACTAGACACCTAGAGGCAGAAGCCTGTACTGCAACAGAACAATAAAAAGACAAACAGCAGTCACATGGCTTGACTCTCCTGAAATTGTACTTGACCATTGTTGGTAAGGGTAGCATTGTTTATCTTTTGGCAGGAAGTAGGAATTAAGGGTGATCAGTTATGAATGTTCGCATTCCACCGCTTGCAAATACACTTAGCATTATCACTGAGCTAAAAGACACGTCACAGTCAAAGAAGGAACAGTTATAGGCTTTCAAGTCAGGATGGTGCAGCATTGGTATGGGGTAGGAAGAAATACAATGGTAATTTTGTCGAATGTCAAAGAGATGGTATTCTCTTGTTGAAAAAAAGTGATTACCTGGCACCTGTGTGGCATGAATGGTACTTGCCATATCAATCCAAACAGAACTGCCATCTAGGACTTACAAGATATAGATACTGACTGGTTCAGTTTGAGGAGTCATGATGAGCTGTGTGCAGATAAGTGAACATCCACCTTTCTGACCATTATAATTGAGGCAAGGTCTGAGTGATACATTAGAAGATGGTATGGCCTAGGCCATTATCTCAAAGAAGGTCACCTGCATGTTCAGTGATGGTCCAAATAACTACCATCTTTCTTGGTGCTAATTATAGCTGTAGCCAGTCCATTGTTTGTACTCCATACTCCCTCCAGTCACCCCACACATTCACTTGAAGGTCATGGGAATTGCACTGTCAGACTCCTTGCTGCCACACTCCATTAAGTATTGCTTGTGTGCCAATTGTAGTCACCTCAAAGTGAATGGATGTTGGAAAATCCTTGATTTGGGTGGACTCCTGTAGCTGGACAACCACTATGTAGTGAAATGCTTCAAAACGTGTAACAAAAGGAAGAGACACCAAACTGGTCGCATATGAGGATGACAGGAGTTTGCAGAGGGATTATATAGACAGGTTGAGAGTGAGCGCAAGTCTAACAGATGAAAGTGTGGGGAAGTGAGGTTCTTCCTACCAAAGTTCATAACAAGCGTGAATAGCATTTAAAAATCAGGGACAGTGGGGGAGGGGAGGAAGAGACTGCATAAAATTCAGAGGGATTTTTGAGGGTCCTCAGGCACAAAATCAAAAGAATGCTACCATTCTGGCTCAGCAGATAAATAAAGGCTTTCTTTGCTTTCCCTGTTTTAAAACAAAGATTAGGATCAGAGACCAGAAGTAGGAGGAGGTCTTGCCAAAACTATACAAGACTAGTCAGACCACAACAACAGGAACAACAGTTTTGGGCCCCATCCAAGGGAAGATATACTGGCAATTGAGTTAGTCTAGAGAAAGCTCAGTCATTGATTCCAAGTATGGAGGCACTTTCCTCAAGATGTTAAGCCTGTATTCCTTACAATCAGTATAGAAGACTGAGGCTGTTTCAATATTCAGAGGACATAATAGATGCAGAAAGGTTGTTTATTGTTGCAGGAGCATCTAGGACTATGGGTGTCACCCATGGCCTGAGGATTTGTCAAAGGGTAGTAAATGTTTGGAATTTAGTGAGCTGTGAAGCCTTTGAGTATTTAACACAATAGATTTTAGAACAAGAGAGATCAAGGGTTAATGGGTTAAACACAAAAATCAGAAAAGTGGAGTCAGGGATTCAGTTCAGCCAGGATATATATTAGTCCAGAGATAGTAGGAACTGCAGATGCTGGAGAATCCGAGACAACAAGGTGCAGAGCTGGATGAACACAGCAGGC